AACAACTACGATACATGTTGCTTTTATACAAATCCAAGATATAATTTCTAGGCTATACGAATTCATGTACGCTATATTACTTAAATTCTATTGGTTCAATATTCGTTCGCTCGTTTGTTCGCTCGTTCGCTTAGTTATTCGTTCGTTCGCTTGTTCGCTTGTTCGCTCGCTTGTTCGCTCGCTTCACATGATATAATCTTTATCCAATAATATATGAGATATTTATAATCTAATAATAAAATATTATGACGAAAGATCATTATACAACAATATTATATCTTTCTATACTATGATATATAATATCTAAAATTATCAAATATTTATATTTTGTAAATTGAATAAATATCTTAATGAAAAAATAAAATTCATAAATATGATGAAATAGAACTTTTTGGATTATACAATCAAATTCCTTTATAATTATCACCCTCAGAAAAGCAAAATTTGGTGACTATAGAAAAAATGTGACTATAGAGAGATTTTTTTTATTATATTTATATGTAAATGAGAAAGCAAAATAAGATGACTATAGAGAGGTATGACTATAAATGAATGTGACTATAGAGAGGTTTGACTGTTATATAAATTAAATTTTGTATTTATTCAATTTACAAATATTTAATGCTTTAAATATTATATATCATATATTTTCTAAGTTAATATTTTGAATTTGATTATTAAATATAAATGTTTATGTTCTAAAGCAATGTTAAAGAAAAATAATGATTTCTGAACTCCAGAGTTTAATAAATTATTATAAAAAAATATTATTGATCATATTATAATATTATTGATTAATTACAAAACATGTAATAAATAATTATTCTTACAAAAAATTGAAATATAAATTACTTGAATTATATATGTTAAAATATAATTTATTAATAAAATCAAAATTTTTATATATAACAAAAATTTTTATTATATTTTATTAATAAAATTGCATGTACAATTTCATAATTTTGTTAGTTACTGTAATATAATATTAAATTGTGATTATTTATAAAAAATTCTTTATAAAGATCTAATTGTATAAGTACAGTCAAACCTCTCTATAGTCACACACATTTATAGTCACACCTCTCTATAGTTATCTTATTTTGCTTTCCCCTTTATATATAAACATAGTAAAAAAACTTCTCTATAGTCACATCACCTTTATAGTTACCAAAGTTTGCTTTTCCAAGGATGGTGACTATAGAGGGGTTTGACTGTATTTTAAATGAAATTATAATTTTATAGTTAATATATTAGTTAAATATATAATAAAATATTTATTATAGAATTTTATAAATTTTAATTACAATATCAAACAAATATAATAAATATAAGTGTTTTATATTATTAATTATACAAAACAAACTTGTCATAAATTTTCAAAGCTTGAATTGTAATAAGCTTTGAAAAATATTTATTATAAATGTTCTTATTTGTATTTTTTTTGTGTTAAGTAAAATATTCAATACTTTATAATTTTAATAAATATTATAAAAATACTGACTCTTTAAATAAGAAATGAGTAATATGTTTAGATTATCTAATTCACTTAGTTTTTATAAATACTTTTATTTTGTTTTATTTGACAAAAATTCAAATTTGGAATTATGTTCTCAGTTGAACTAAATTTATGTTATTAATGTTCTCAAATTGTTCATTATAGAGAACATTATATTTTATAATTATGTTCATTTACGAATAATTTGAATACATTGAAAAATTAATTTATATTGAAGTTAATACAAAATATAAATTTTCAATGAATTTTGTGATCAAGTTAGGATTTCGAATTAAGGCGAAACTGAAATTATTATAAACGAAATATTTCAGAAAATGAAAAATTATTTAGCACGAAACATGGCACCATTTATCCAGGATCTGAAATAATATTACATAAACTGAGAACATCATTTACAATTTCATTGTTCTCATGAAAGTGAGAACCAACAAAATCTTGATAACGTTCTCTCTGAAAACACTTCATTCTTACAAAATATTCTTAAATAAAAGAACGTTTTTTTTTAAACAATGATATTGGTTGTAAATATCATTAATCGCCATGATGATAGCTGTACATTCCATGAAATACGTAACAAATATAAGACAAATCAATAACATCTATTGTTATTTTTATCACAAGCCGCTTTCATTTTTAAAAGAAAATCTGTTGTAGTTTTCAAATTAATTAATGACTATCGGAAATTATATGCTTTGTTTGTTTTTGCTAAATTTTTCAGGCAAAGAAAATTAATTTTCGTGGCGTGCCGAATAATCACAAATATCCAAATTTTGTTGAATAAAATAAATTTTATTTTTTAATGATCTCAAATTGGAAAATTATATATGAAATAAAAAATGACAAAAACGTAAAGATCGCTCTTATATGTATACTACCAATAATCGCTATGAACGTCGTAATAATAATTTTATAAAACCCAAACAAATCATCACAATTTTAAATTCTTGCATATGGGGAGGGGGTAAAATTACTCTTTATTTAATAAATCTTTTGCTGGTATATTAATTGACTGATTGAATATAAGAAATGTCTGTTAGAGCTAACAACAGCAACCACATTTAGTTATTATAACTAACTATTTCATTATCACTTTGATTGTCTATCCCATCTCGTTCTTCGCCTCGTTGACCCGCCACCACCAGTAGCAGCTAATACATGTGCATCTTCACCAAAACCACGAAAATGTTCATTATTATTATTTGGGATATAATTTTCTTGTTGTAGTTGTTGTTTGTTTAGCATTAGTAAATCAGGTGATTCTATTTGACCAACTGACTGGCTATTATTATACCAAGATTCTAGAAGTAGTGAAGCCGGAGGAGGCGATGTTGGTGTTGTGGTTGTTGTATTTGGAGTGTGAAATAATGTTGGTCGTAGTGGTGACTCATTAGTTGTATTATTGAAAGGTAATTTTGCATTTTGAGGAGAAAATTGGAACTGTGGTTGTTGATTGCTATCAGGAGGTGAAGATCTTTGCTGTTGTTGATGGTAATCATCTTGTTCATTGGTCCAAGATCGATTTTGATCTTGTTGATTATTACTCCCTTCCCATGAAGCATCCGAAAATTTTCTCGAATTATTGTTATTAGACGACATAGTATTGTACGGCCTTTCATCCAATCGACCACCATTACCACTATTACCAACATCCCGATTATTTGCACTTTCAACACTCTCATAACTATCTCTTCTCATACGACGTGCAGGTGGTACATTCGAAGGACTTGACCTATCACGATCCCGTTCTCTATCACGAGATCGATTCCGTTCCCGCTTATATCTATCTCGACGGCCACCACCGCCACCTCGCGAATGATGTGGCGAATGGTCATCGAAATGCGCGTTAAATGCTCTCTTTGGATTATTGGTAGATCCACTTGACGGCCCTTCTCCGATAACAATGTTAGGCTCTTCTATCGCTACTCCTCCAATTAGTTCGCGTCCGCCTGTGCCTCCGACTTCACTTGTTTTTAACCATCTTTTGTCGGTTTCGGTTAGTCGTGCCAACGGAATTACTGATTCACCTGTTTTGAAATTATAACATTCTTTTGGTCCGAATCCGACTCCCCATCGAACCTTATGTAAAAAAATGATATATGCGCGTATGTGTTAATATTATGATTGTTAATACTAATTAGAGATTTGTAATTTACCTCTAGTTTGGTCGTTTTTAAAATATTTCCGCTCTCCATAATTGTACGCATCGCTGCACCTCGATTTCCCATTTTTACAAAAGCGTTATGTTTGTCATGGTTAATCTGATTTTTTTTTAAAAAAAACAGAAACTTAGAGATGGTGTAAACCTACATGATAACAATATATATATCTTTTATTTAATACAAACCGTAACGCTCGACACTTTGCCATGGATCAAGAAAATTGCTTCAATATCTTCATATTTCATCGATGGAGTCACACCGCCGACATAAAGTGTTCTACTCAAAACTATGGTGAATATATAATACAAATTAACATCAATAATAACATAATAACCAAGTCTAAAAGAGAAAAGTGCTATTATGCAGAAAGATATACCTCTAATAGAATCTTTGGGTATTGTAGGATCTTCATATGCCAAATATGTATTTTCATCAATGGGTGGAGGAATTTGTGGACCAGGACCTGTCGGTGGTCTAAAGTGCATGTCAAGATGACCTTGTGCAGGTGGTGGTCCGTGTGGTTGTGGTCCAAGATTCATATCCAAGTGTCCTCCATGAGGTGGTGGTGGGCCAAGGTACATATCGGGATGACCTTGTGATGGACCATGATGGATAGACAACGGCGCTATTTGTTGTGGTGGCGGCATACCATGAAGATCAGATGACGCGTGTCCCAATTGTGGCAGTTGGCCGGGAGGTGTGGAATGGACATGTGGAGGTGGAATTTGATGTGCACCAGTAGAAGGCGGTAAAAAAGGTGGCGCTCCATTCATTTGTGGCGGTGGTGCATTAGGATTCCATTGTGGCGGAAAACCTAGAAATTATTGTTAATATTTATACTAAATTATTAATAATTAACAAACAATCCCAACCTGAAAATTGTGGAGGAGGTCCATGTTGCTGTTGATCAGATGGAGGTGGAACACCAAGATTTTGCTGTTGCTGTCCAACAGGTGGAGGTCCCCAAGAAGGTTGTTGTGGTCCTGGTCATTGAGATAGATATGAGTGGGTTTGGTAAATTATCACTTTACCTTTACTAATATAATTAGAAATAGCATTACCACTAGTTATGTCTGCGCCATTAATTTGCTGCGGCTGTCCGATATTTGGTTGCTGCGGTTGAAAGAAATGATTGGTGTTGGTGAATTGTGGTGGTGGTTGTTCAGGATGAAATTGGTGACTGGATTGGATAATCAATGTGGGGTTTTGTTGTTGTTGTTGTTGCCGTTTTATGCATAAAAGAAAAAAACAATTTTTTTAGATCATCGATATACGGGATTTACGATAAGTTTAACCAAAAACGATGATAATTGCAATAGAGTATGAAAGGCAATAATGGAAAGAAAAAAGGATTGTGATAAAATTAATCATATAAGGAAATATAAAAAATCATCCCCGCGAGAGAATTTAGACACATACATATGTGTGTCATCATTCCATAAATAAGTATATTTATTATTTTTTTTCGTTTGTTTGTGCTTTTTTATGTTTGTCAGTAACACGACATTCTTTTTTTTTGTTTGCAGGTTTGAAGCGTTCGAAAATTAAAAATCGAATTTGTTGTATTAATTTAATGGAATATAGAAGCAAAATTGGCATGATAGAGCGAATTAAAGGTTTATATATACAAGAATCGAGAGGAAAGGGTAATCAAGGAAGCAGAATAAAAAAATCAAATAAAAAAAGAGGGTGGGTGAGGAAGGATATCGAAAAAGCTCATTAAATAATCAAGCCACTAAATCCACAAGCATGCAATCAATTGTTTCTACTTACGCATTTACAGAAGTTACGTTAGCATTCGTATCATTTAATCCATTATTATGATTAACATCTGAAGAATCTAAATCCATTTTATCAAATTGTGTAGCAGTAGCAGCGGCGGGAGAATGATGATCTAAACCAGGTTTCGACGGCGTGGCGTTGTTGTTTCCGTTGCCGTTATTTTTTGGTGGTTGAGCGAATATCTGTGGTGGTACTTGTGCTGGAGTAGCTGGATGAGATTGTGGCGGCGCTAATTGCTGGATTTGAGGAGGCGGCATTTGCATTGGAGCCCCATTCATATTTGGATATGGATGAGGAGCGGGAGAGGCAAAAGGAACACCTGAAACTGGCTGAGGATGATGACCATTAACAGCATTAACATTATTAAGAGTGGGAATAATTTGATTATTTGGTTGTAATGATGATGATGATGATGATGATGCAGATGTAGTAGCAGAAGACGCTGTTGCAATTGGATTTGCCAGGAAATCTGGTATTTTCAAGTTCCCTTGAGTTATCGTATTTAAAGTCGCCAATAACGCGGAGGAATCTAACGTTGGAATAATTGCCGTCTGAGGATCTAATAATTGACACAAATATCAAATTTTGTGTATATACGTATTTTAGATAATGATGGTTCCCGGACGAGTCATTTAACGAGTTATTGTAATTATTTACGTGTTTATATGTATGTACATATAATAGATATAATTGAAAATTAAAAAAGTTATTTATTAATTGTTTTTTGTTGATTTTTTTGTCAAATAATTCAAATGAATTTATGCAAGAAAATTGATTCCAATGATATAAAATATAAATCATTTTTTGAGTGATGAGAAGAAAGTTTATACAATCTGATAATGAAGGTAATAATGATAACGGACGAGAATAATAAGAACCATATATACAAATATAAAAAAAACGCGATACTTTACTTGATTTATTAGTATTATTAGTATTCCGTGGATCTCGATCACTTCCGCCGTTGCTACTATTATTTTTATTACTATTATTTGCATTCACGTCAGCAGCAAGTGGTATCGATGGCGATGACGACACGGGCGCGGATGCGGAACTAAAGTATTTTTCTTTAATAATTGTCAATACTTCAGACTTGTAAATTCCGCCTTTTTTTAGCCAGATGTCAATAACACGGTGAACTTTTTCCTGTATGGTTTTCGATTATATGCATAGAGAGGTGGGTACATACATATATAGAAATATATATGTTGTAATTGTTTAATTAATAGCTTGTTTTTCAGCAGATAAAAATATAATGTACGAAAATACACTTTTTCTATGAAACTTTTTTCTTTTATTGTTATTATGATGTATCCCGATTTTTTTGACCCATTACCAGCCAACCAAACCGCCATCCATTTCTCCACCACATGCGATATTTATATACTTTTAAAGCTTTTGTTGAAGAGTTTATCAATTCTTATCTGTTTGTATTTTTTTTTTATAAATCAATCTAAAATACAATAATAGAGAACTATAGAACCATAAAATTAATACTCCAAGTATCGAATCCGCCATTATCGACATGAAATAGCTGTTGATTGTCACCAAAAGACGCATGATCTATATAATGCTTTGCCGCTTTTGGTTTTATTGCTGTTTCTCGTCAAAAAGTTATCTATCAATCGATCTGCTGATCTTGTGTATATCATCAAATTTTTTCTCTTTCTTCAACTGATTAAAAACCCCAGCGAACAAATTCGGGAGATTCTTCGAACGGCGTGTCAAATCTCCATTCGCATATAAATAACAACAACTCAACAACAAAATCCATAACCAAATTACTAATTATCACGCGATGGTGATATTGGTGCCAAAAAGATGCCTACCTTATCACTATTCGGACAAACCATAATATTTTGAAATATTTCATCCAACAATTTTTCAAATCTCTCCAAATATTCAGCTCCAGACCACGACGACGACGAATCTTTAACGGTAGCTTTTTGTCGCGAAGCCGCCTGCGATATCGAGTCAAGAACATATAAACCGCCTAATTTGTAATCGGGAGCGCTCCTCTGGATGAATTTTTGCACACTTTGCACGATGTTTTTGTATTCCTTTAATTTTATGTTTTTAGTGATGGAAAATAACAGGTTTATTGGAGATTTTAGTATATTATTTTGCAAATTTTTCGGAGAATAAATTTTCTCTTTGTTGGTGATTTTTTGTTGTTTCAAAAAATTTGCGAGATGAAAAAGATCAATCTGTTTTACTATTGTCATTGGCGTTGAAACGACAAATTGATTCGTATTTTCAAGAGCAAATATTTATTGCATGATTTTTGGCTTTGTGTATCCTCCTTTTCATCATTAAAGACCTAACTAGCATCGATGATCTCAAACATCCTTATTCATGTCTACCAAAAATCATATAGAAAATACCCGTTTCCTCCACCTTCCTCGTCCGAACACGTCGAAAACATTACAACTACCGATATATAATATCTCCACTACTAAACTACCAACTAACCTTTGGACTAGTCATGGCTATTCTCGTCAACTCTTTTATTTTCGAGGCACTAGTACCAGGCGGTTTTCGCTCTAGTAGGCTATACAGTATTTTTTCGAATTCGACGATTTCTTTGCTGGCTGCCATCACTCCTCTTTTTTTTTCTTTTGGCTCTTTTTTCTTTTTTCTCTTTCTCTTCTCTTATTTTTTTCTTTTTTTCTTTTCTTCTTTTTTTTCCTTTTCTCTTATTATTTTAATTAAAATGCTCTTTTACTACTATACACATAGATAGACTGACCGACTCAGTTACTCAAATGACTAAATGATTTAAAGACTAGTGGGTAATTTAAAGGCTAGTAGTAGGTATGATAACAATACACAAGCAAAAAAAAGGCGTAAAAAAATTTATTTAGAAAAGAAAGTATGGTGGTGAAAAGTCTGGACCATGAGCATGGTTAAGGATCATATCACGTGATTTGATGCAATCGATTTAATTATGGTGTTACAAAATACATAACAGTAATATTAATTGATGAAATAACGATTACTTTTAACACATTACATAAGTTTAAAAGGAAAATACACCCTTCGATATCTTTGAACTTGCTCCATTATTCTTCAACTTTTTTTTATATTTCGACGATAATGACGAAAACGATTCGCTTCTTCAGTATCTATTCCACCGAGTTTTTGTAAATACGTATTCTTGAAGAAAAAGTTCTAGCCGCTTTTGAAAACTCTGGAGAGGTTATTTGAACATCCGGCGACGAGGTCTTTTACAAGTGGAATCTGAGATCGGGTAGAATTCGAAAAATTGAATTTTGCCAAAAGTGACTCTTATTTTTGCGTATCTTTTGGGATTTGATAATAAAAATCTCTTAACAGAATAAGTGAACGATATAAAACGCTGTAGTAGTACAGCAATACCCCCAGCTATACCTAAAAACTAAAGATCACAAGTCAACACTTTAAATAGAAGTATCACTTTTACTCCTGATAATAAAAATGGCAAATTAAATTTATTAACATATTTAATTTACATATTTATTTACCCTTCAACTTCACGTCTTTGTTTGAAAAATACTCGATTTTACTAGAATTAAAAAGGGTGATATTTTGATCAAGTACGTATGGATATCACTCCCTAATAAAAACAAATTAAGCATAATTACCTTATTGTTTCAGAAGTAAATATACATATTTGGTAGCTTGATACGTTCCAACCTTACTATACCAGTGGTATTAAAAAGAAATTAAATTTTGGCATATTATCATGCAAAATTTTATTCATAAAGTTTATTTTTAATCCCAATACGAGTCATTAGAATTATCGTATAAAAATCTAAAGGTTTAGTGGGATCGAAGCCTACTCATTAACTTTATACAGTGACTCAAAACTTTCTGGAATTTTTAGCTTCGTCAATAAAAAAAGTACTCATTTTGAATTACAAGGACTCTAGCATTTTTTAAATATATTTTGACAACAGATTATTTTAGTCAATTTTATAAAACTCAGTAATTTAAATAATTTAAATCAAAATTTTCAATTAGTAAATTTCTCACATTGAAGAACTTTTTTCCTATGACGGATTCAAACTTGGACCACTAATTAAAAATGTAAAATCCTGAAGGTTCAAATCTCTGTTAGTAAATAGTCGAATTAATGCTCCTAGCAGAGATTCGAACCTTCGGGATATTAAATATCGATAAATTTTGAGCCAATTTTTGTGAAAATTGGTACATAGGCGGATTTTGTAGAGTATTACATTTTTAATTAGTGGTCCAAGTTTGAATCCGTCATAGAAAAAATGTTCTTCAATGTGAGAAATTTACTAATTGAAAATTTAGATTTAAATTACCCAATTTTACAAAATTGACTAAAATAATCTGTTGTCAAAATATATATATTTTTTTTATTTTGTTTGGAATGATATTGACGAAGATAAAAATTCCAGAAAGTTTTGATCGCGTGTTCCATTTCTTGTGTGAGTCACTGTATATCTAACAAATTTGCCGAAAAAAAGCAAATTACTATATTCTTTTAATTCATCGTCTTGTTAACAATCCTCTTTGGTATAATTGTTTTTATTAATTCATCCCCAATTTTAAATATTCCGAGTTAACGTTATAAATTAATCAATATAAATGCTTACATCCATAACATTCAAGCATAAAAGGTCAAAGTGAATAACTATCAAGATATTTAAGGATAAAATAATAAATTCTATTCCGAAATTAGTCTTCCCATCACAAACAAGATAGACTTGAATAACTAGATACGTTGTCAAAAAAGATTCCTATGCAGGCTCGAAGACAACAGGGTGTTTAGACTCTCGCCTAGGATACTTTCTGTAATATGCATTTTTAGATAAGGAACTAAGGTGTATTACTAGTCGGAGTGTGGTACTATCGTTGATAATGCAAGTCAGAACATTTTTCTGTGAAATCCAAGGTTATTCAAAGAAATTGTGAATGATAACAAATATTTGAACATATCATTTATGAAGCAAAATGGCACCGCCTTCCTAGCATCAGTAATAAGCTTCTCCCTCTTTACAAAGAACCTTATGCTCTATCCCGCGAATACAAATGAATCTATATCTGGAACTTCATGACATGATTTAAGGTGCCAGAGCTTGCTCGTCTCCATAAAAAATTTCCTGTAGAAAAAACCTGTTGACTTTAGAGTATTATAATTAATAATACTCTTTGCTTTCAAAATAATTCTCGATTGCGGTTACCCAGTTCCGGAAGATTAATCAATTTTACATTTCTAGTATTTTCGGTCTTTTGCCTTTTTTAAAGTTGCAAATGACCTGATCATTTGCATACATTGTTTAACAAAGAGACCCCGCGGGTTTGACTCAACTTATGGGGATTATTTCTTATAGAGGAAAATTTATTACGAAAAAGTTTATCTTAGACCTAAGTTGTCAAAGTTGACTGTGTACGAAATTCTTTTACGCTAGTAAAATACCCAATATTATATAAATATCTAACTACTTTTCCTTATTGCGAAAAGTAATAAAAGCAAGAATCAATATCATCTTTTAAATTATTCAAAGACTTATAGATTGTGTTATCGTTATTATTTTTACAAATGAACTTTTTCACATATAAATGCTCTTCTGGTTAACATTGTATTAACATATTCCAATTCTTTTTAAAATCAATAAAAATATAGTTTAGAATACCTATATATAATTATATAATATTTTCATTTGAAATTGAAGGTGGAGGTGGAGTTTATTCTACGGTTTCTTTTGTAGTTTCTTCGTGGACTACCCAAGTTTGTAATAATTCTTCGCGAGGTCGTTATTTTCTAATAAACAAATTAATTTATTATAAATCAAAATTGTTTAATTCTAATCGACTAATTAATACTTTTCGTTAAACACTAGACTCGATCCGCCGTCGCGAGTATAACCTCGTGATCGCAGATTAAGTATACGATTCAAAATTAATTATATAGGTATCGGTATATATTATCTTTGAGATTAAATGTTCACAATTTTGCTTTGTTTTCTAATTTGAGTAGTTTTGCTATGTTTCCATACAAAAATTTCTCTCTCCCTTCATCACTCAATCCTAATTCATCTACTTGTTCCATCGTGGCTTTCCAACTAAGTTGGGGAAAATTGGTGCCATAACAAACTTTGTCTTGACCATAGGTTTTCATATAATGGATAAGTTCTGAAGGATAATAACGAGGAAGCCAAGCAGAAGTATCAATGTACACATTGGGATGCTTCCAACAAATACTAATCATCTCGTTCGTCCAAGGATAGCCAATGTGGCCTCCAACAATTTTTAGTTGGGGAAATGTAAGTGCGATTTCATCAAGATAGGGAATTGGTCTTCCTGTCTCGGATGGACATAATGGACCGGTGTGACCGACTTGCGTAAAAAATGGGATATCAAGTTCGATACATTTTATATAGAGAGGATAATAATGTTTATCATTTGGTGGAAGACCATAAAGCCAAGGGACAATACGAAGACCCTTAAAACCGAGTACATTGATAGCTCTTTCCAATTCTTTCACTGCACCAAAAGGATCAAGTAAATTGACACCCGCAATTCCAATAAATCTGTCAGGATATTTTTGTACCCATTCGCTTATCATATCATTAGTAATTACTGCTTTTCCAGGTCTATACCAGGCGCTTAAACATAATTTTTCTACACCAGCTTTATCCATCAGTTGAATTGTCTGTTCGGGCGTGAGACCCTTTTCCGACAAAGCTAGAGGTGTTTTTGATAGAAGCATAAGACGGGCTACTTCTGGAACACCTTTGATAAAGTCTGGATGGGCAATTTGGCACCAGGCGTCGATAGAACCATGTTTTTTCAGAGACATTTTTTTTCGCAAATGTTTGATATGAATCTAGTAGGGTATACAAATAATCAATGACCAAATTTCAAAAAAGGTCACCAGATTTCATTTTAATCTAATCTGCCACAAACATGTAATTTCTTGGTGAATAACGATAATAAAGTATTTATTTAGTATATGAAAATCTCCAAATCTTGGATCAAAAATTCTTTTTATTATCATATTTTACAGGTAGGAGAAAATCATAATATTTGCTGTTAATCGATTATGAATCTTTTGTTTCATTCAGAATCTTCGGTCTTCTTTTTTTTCTTCTTTTCGGGAGATTTTTCGACGTCAGATTTAGATTTAGATTTTTTCTTGGGTGACTGTATATATATATATATATATATATATATATATATATATATTTTTTTAGATATATATGAATGTATAAATATTTATGAATGGTTAGTAAAGTTAACAACATTACCAGAGAACAAACCATTAAATCTAAAAAAATATAAAGTAACAAATAAAAAAATACACTCTCAGATTTCTCCTCTTTTTCCTTTTCCTTTTTGGCCTTCTTTCGAGCCTTCTTCTCGGCTGCTTCTTCATCTGCTGTTTTCGTCGTTATCGGTGTAACAGCAATCATAGAAGTCGCGTCCTGTTTCTCTTCCTCTTCCTTTTTGACACGTTTTTTCAATTTCTTTTTAGGAGATTTGCTGCTCTCTTCGGCTGTGTCTTCTTGTGGTTCTGTTGATTCCGGTGGTGTTTTTCTCTGTATATTTAAAGTAATAAAGATTTTAACAATTAAACAAATCAAAATTTTAGTAATCGCTGGATCAAAATAATGGCAGTAAAGTAATAATAATGATAACCTTTTTAGGCGTAGTGCTACTTGTCGCAGGAGGAGGCTCAATTTTCATGTATGGCTCGTTCTTTATTTCTTGCATAAGAATAGTTGATGTTGACTCTGGTGTTGCCTGTGGTTGTTGTGATTGTGGTTGTTGCTGAATATTATTCCCACTGTAATCAACGTAGGAACTTTTCCAGTCTTCGGGTGTCGCTTCAGTTACGCGTCCATATTTGTCTAATTTTCCCGATTTGACCAAACTCTTCTTTTGCTTGGCCTATTTATGGTTTTCAAGAATAAATTTAAAGAATTTATCGATGCAGTTAAATTTATTTATAGTTAGAGTTACCTTTGGACCTAGTCCCCATCGTTTCGGATAAGTATCACGTTCCATAATAACTCTCTTGACTTTAGCAACAACACCTATTTCAAAAATTCCCATGAATATTTCTCTATTTTTACTAAGTTACAAATGTACAATGGAAAAATAAACCACAAACCATGATCAACAGTAGCCATCACCGCAGTCGTCATCATAGCGATAGCAAGCGCAATAGCTTCACCCTTAGTCGTCATTAACACGACCTCTTCATTGACTTCAATATTCGATTCGTAACGAAGTAAACCGGGTATCATAAATTTTGCGCCGTAACAAATCGCGTTCACAGCACTGTCTTTGACGACTAGTCGCTTATATGAGGTAAGCAGTGTTTCTAGGGGGAGGATAACTCGGCGAAGATAGGAATCTATCATGAATCAATACATTAATTAAACTAAAAATCTTGATGAAAACAAAGGTTAGAAATAAAATAGTTAAGTTATTACCATCTCTGGTATTATCATACATCCATTGAGCATCTAATACATCATGCATCGTTACCATATTATCCTAATAAATAAATCACCGATATGTCCCAATAAAGAAAGCTTAACATAAAAAACACCCCTAATCAAGAAAGCTAACGATAACAATAATACAAACATTCTCAGACATCGCGCCGGACCGCACACGTCTCAATTCCTGCATGTGTCCGCCGACACCAAGCAACAGACCAAGGTGTACACACAACGTACGAATATAAGTGCCAGCCTCACAACTAACCCAGAACACACCCAAATGACGATCCTCGTCATATTCAATTAATTTCGCCTCGTGAATTGTACGAATGCGCAGCTGCCGTTTTACGGCGGATATTAACGGTGGGCGTTGAAATAGTGCACCGGTGAGTGTTTCGAGTGCTTTTACGAGTTTTAGCCCGGATTCGATGGATTTGTGGAGTCGTACTACGCAGACGTATTCTTTTCCTATTATCGTATTTACAGTTCAAATATGTCAATTTAATTAGTATTAAATAAATTGAAACAATTATATATGAATATAAATTATAAAATATGCTTAAAACAAATACCTGCACTCTGTTGTGACTTTACTAAACGCGTTGCACGATCTATACACACTATCAGACAACCGGTAACTTTCGGATCAAGTGTGCCACTATGTCCGGTTTTTTCTACTCGAAGTATACGACGAACCCAAGCGACTACTTCGTGTGACGATGGATTTGCAGGCTTATCCAAGTTTATTACACCATATCTGTTTTTTTTTGTATTATGAGTGTAATCATAGCAACGATAAGTATTATCTCTTTTAAGATAGATAAATAAATGGCTTGTGCAGTACCCCAAACAAAATTGTTATTAATAGTATTCCAATTAAATCAATATCCATGCCTAATGTATTCCGTTAGATCACGCTTAAGAGGTGAACAGCCCATCGGTATCGGTGTATAATGTCCCGTTCTGACATTTAGTTGATCGTAATTCTATCAAATTAAATAGTCATATTGTACTTAATGACAAAAGTATAAGCGGCCCAAAATATAGTGAAAAATTTCCTCACTTTTAAAAGTAAAGGCCACTTTGATGTATCTATTTGCGGTGTTTTCTTTTCTGGTTTTATCACGTATTCCGTCTCCATTTTTTTAACAAAAATATTCAACAGAACAGAAAATTTTTATTGATCTAATGATCTAATCTAGTGATTGGATCTTTATGCGTTTCATTCGAATTGAATTTAATGCTAATTCGTGAGCCTAATTCGATCGGTATTAATATACAATGATCTGCAACACATTAAGAACAAAAAGGTGGTTTTATTTGTTTACTAAAATAAGGATGGTTGCTGAAATTAACTTGCTGAAATTAAATCTGAAATTATTTTGACTTATTTTATTAGTAGCCAAAATTGTTTTCCAAAATTATTTGGATTTTACAAA